GCTTTTCCTGGTCTCACTCTCCCCCAGACGTGTCACCGACACGCTGAGCTCACGTCCACATTTGTCCGTGCAAAGCCCTTCCCTGGCCACTCTCGAGCGTCTCCACGCTGGCACCGGCAGAAACACACCCGGCAGCCTCGGGCAGCCGCGGGGTCGGGGTAGCCTGGGCGTCCCCAACCCGGGGCGTCCCCATGTGAAAACGTGGGGGTTGTCACGTCAGATGGTTTTACAGGGCATGGATTGCACCCACCCCCCGGTTTCTTCTCACTGCCATCGGCATGCCCACCCCTCTTGGAGGCTGTGACCCCAACGCCGCTCAATACACCACGTCTGTGTTTAAAGGCAAGGCACTTTTCAACGAGTTCAGTTGAGAAAACAAGGCACGAGCACCAACATCATCACACCAGATGCTGACAGCAACACGGGGCTATGGTTGGTGAGAATGGAAACAAAACAGCTCGTACAACTGCAGGCCTCCTGCTACGCTGGTTTCAATTCCCCAAATGCCTCCATCGCTGAGAAGACTCTACACCCCTGAATTTGAAATACGGTCTGTGCAGCTGTTCGGTGCAGGTACTTAAATCCTCCAAACCTCTCCTGCAGCCAGCAGGGGTGGGTGGGTAGCAGACGCTCGCCTCCTGCACGCTGCTTTGCGGAGGGTGTCCTGCTCCCTCTGCTCCCGACGGCGTTTCCTGGCCGGGCCCGGGCCGGGCTGACGGTTTGCGGTGAGATGCTCATTGCTGCACGTCACCTTTTGCTCTAAACAGCTGCAGGCCAACACAGGCCACCGGGTCCAGCACAGCCTGTGTCCCTGCGAGGAAACTTTGCACCCTCCGTGTCACCACAGCTGCACCCGAGCTGGGTGGGGGGTGCTGCCCGCCCCGCCTGAGCAGACACTGCCCGGGCGGACGCCAGCTGGCACACACCGAAACGATGCCGGGGCGGTGTTAACCGTAGCGGGATGGGCCAGCTGGAGTCTGTGCCCACGCACCAACACTTTGGTGTCTAGTGGCGTTGGGGACACAACAGACGCCCTGGACTTACGGAACCATTCCTGTATGCAAACAGATTTCAGCCTGTCTTGGCTGCTGCTCCTGTTCACGGATTGTCCCCATCCCCTGCCAGCATCAGGGATTTCTGCGTGTTCCCGTGTTGGAAGTGAGGGCACGGGCACACTTCTACACCAGTCAGGCTGCGGGTCTTGGACTGGCCAAGCTGCTAAAACCACGTGAACGTCTAGGGGTGCAGAATCAGGCGGCTGGTAGAAGACTCACAACAAGACATGAGCCAGGTCTGAATTAATTCTAAGATCTCACGTGCCCAATTATGTCATTGTGCCGTACAGACAACATACATTCCACTACAGGAAGAGTAAGGGCAGAAGACAAAACAGTTTGCATTTTGTGTAAAGCAAAGAAGAGCCATGAGAACGGGGGATTCACAGAATTCTCCTGACCTCTGGGAAGTTGTTTTGTTCATAAAAACACCAGGAACTGGGCATGTCTCTCTGACAGGGTACGGGAACCAAGCCCCCAGGCCCTGGCCCTGACAGCGGCTGCCGGCTGGAGCGGAGCACCGACTGTGCCAAAGGGAAAATTCGTGTACAGATGGGATGTGCTCAGGCCGAGCAGCTCGACCCTCTGTGGCCTGGCATGCAGACGGCTCTGCACGAGGTGCAGCTCCACCAAGATCATCCTTGCGGCAGCCAGCGCCACCCCCACTGCGCTCCCCTCGCTCCGGGGAGGTGAACGGGCCTGAAAGGAGCCGCAGCCGTCACGGGGCTCTCGGGGAAGCCGGAGCCCTGGGCTCGGCCTTGCTTTGATGGAGAGATGCCGCTCTCCGGCGGAGACAGCAGCAGGTCGTGAGGGGACCCCAGAGGGCAGCCGCGTCCCTGCCTCTGGCACGTCTGCCTGCTTTGGGATCCCTCCGCTGGGATGGCACGGGCACGGAAGGAGCGTCCCCGATGGGCTCAAGCTCTGTATCGCATGGGATGGGAGCAAGGTCTAGGGGAGAGGAGCGAAGGCACAAGGAGGCTGAGCTCTGCCTCACCATGCTTTGGCCCTTCCTCCCCTCCTCAGATCCTCCTCCAGAGCACCCGCAGCCCCCAGCAACCTCCCTCGTCCCCAAAACATGCCCCACACCAACTGCGCCTTCCTGGGGACGCAGGTCCCTTTCGCCCACCCAAGGGTCACTCGATGCCACTTCAGAAAGCTTCAGCTTCCAGGCGGGGGATGCTCAGCACTCCCCAAAAGGCAGGCCTGACCAGGTGTCCATACGGGACCATCGCCACCCGCCCGACGAACTGTAAGCGGCGCGGTGAAACCGTCCCCGCACCGCTGCCAGCTGCACTCAGCCTGCTTTGACTGGGGTCTCGCTGCCCGCCCTTGGCTTCCCTTTGACGCACCCCGTTCACTAGCAGGTGGCTCAAAAAGATCGTTCTGCAGAGCCCTGCCACCCCCTGCGCCCCGACAGCATTTTCCTGAGCTGCAGGGCCAGGCGAAGGAGCAGCCGCGCGATGCGGAGGAGGAGGAGGAGGCGATCTGCGGCCGGCTGAATCTCTGCCTTGTCAGGGAACCACCCGCCCCGTGTGTCAGTATCCAGGAGCCTGTCCTTTAACCACGAGTGAAAACAGCCGGTCCCCCACCAAGGCACATCTGCTCCGAGTCCGTATTACAACCAGGAAAAAAATGACACCTTCAGCTATATAAACCAATAAAAGACTGTCTGATTTGGTTTGCCCCTGTTGTTACCCAGCAAGCTCCCCACTGGGTTAAAGACTGGTGACATCTGCTAAAAAAACGTCAAGAGTGAAGAGAACAAAACCGGGTGATGAATCACACCGAGCGCCCGGTGCAGCTGGAAGCTGGAGGGGTGAGTCCACCCCGTTTCTCTCCCCGGGTGAGGGGGGCCAGGACCACCGGCCGAGCACGGCACAGCCTGTGGCTCCGGGAGACGCACGCAGGGAGCAGCAGCAGGCACACGCACCTCCCAGCCGCTGCGGAGAAACACTGCGACATGGCCAAAGACACGAGACAAGGGGCTCGCCGCGGTGGTGGTCCCCGCCGGCTCTCCGAAGTCGGGAAATGGTAAAGTTAACTCTGCCCCCTTGTGCATCTGCATCATGATACAGGCCGTAATTGGATGACACGCTTCTCTTTTTCACAGTAGAGGGTGGGAGGTATGACCCACCTCCCCGTCCCCTGCGGCCTTGGGGCGCCTCCGTGGGCACCTCGCGCCCGCCCGTGCAGAGGGACCCTGTGCGGAGTGGGATGGGGGGTACGGACACTCCTGGGGATCCCCTCAAGTAGACAAAGACACTGAAGTAGCTGTTCATGCCTCTCCAAATCTGCAGCCCTGAGCCTATTATAAAAGCAGTTTAGATGGTCTGCTGAGGACAGCATTACTGTCCAGCTTGCCAGCTCGAAAATCATGACTCATCCTGCCAAAACGACGGGGGTTGTTTTAGAAATCACGTGCTCTCTTCTAAATGCAAACTGGCAAAAGCTGGGGAATTTCTCAGCTCTGCTTCTGATCTTTCCAAGGAAACATTTAATTCTTTTCTCTGCAATTAAACCAGAGCCCTCCGTAACTGCAGGCAGCCAAGAACCAGTGCTTCAGGACAGGGCTGTGACAGAGCTGCGTGGCTTAAGCACAGGTGACCTCTCTTCTGACCTGGCTGATAGAAATACAAAATTTCTGCCCTACCTGCTTTAATGCTTATATTGATCTCCGCACTTGTGGCCTTTATTTGGGGAAAAAGTATCAGATGCACGATGGCAGTTAACTAACAACAGCATATTCAGCGTGGGGTTTTGTACGCTCACCATCAGACCAGTCCCCACGTGCCTGAAATTGGCCCCACAAACCTCTTGCAGGTTTTCCCCCCAGTTTCAGCAAAACCAAGCCCTGCTCCGTGACCTGACCATGCGTTTCCACCAGTGCATCTGCTTGGGTGCCAGGTTGTTCTCCCCATTTTGGCCACGTTTCCCCGGGGGTTTGGTTAATGCCACTACAGCTGCTGCCTGCTCCATCCCCCTGGGGCTGGGCCACGGGGGGGACCGGGGAGCAGTGGGGGGCACAGGGACAGGGACCCACCACACAGGAGCCAGGGTGCTCCAGAGCAAGGAGCAGGAGCCCGACCTGGCAGGCAGGACAGCATCGCCTCGCCAAGAGTAAGAGGGACGCCCAGGCCACCAGTGCTGCCACGGGGCGGGCGGACACCCCTCCACAGCCACAGCATCCCCGGGAAGGCTCCAGGGTCCCCTCCACGACCACAAACACATCTTCGCCTCAACTACCCGCTGTAAGCTCTCCCTAAGCAAAACGGATGCTCTAAATTAAAGGCACTTTTATAAGACAAAAACACAGAATTTCTTGTCTTTTCCCTTCTGTTCTACCCGCAGCATCCCTCTCCCCAAAGCAGTATTTTCATTAGGAAAGTGCCCAGGATGCGGAACGAAACAGAACCATAAACCCTGCAGTGGATCTGAGGAGCGCTGGTAATACCCAACCCCAACAGACTGTGCTCATTTCCACTCCCAGCCTGACAAACTCTGCCCAGTGCAAGGGGACCAGCATGGCAGACAGCTCTGTCGTTCATTTTCCGTCTCTTTGTGCATGGGGACACCTCTCCGACATTTTACATTTTAGGTGGCCACAGAGTCAACACAATGGTGATTCTGCCCCTTTCCACCAGCTGGAGGGAAATGTTCCCAGTTGGGAGGAGGGTCTGGTTAAAATCTGTGACACATCCCCGGTGCTTTCTGAAACACCCAGACGAGTCCCTGCTCCTCAAATCGGTTCCACCTCTGGCCACGGGGTCACGCTGAAGGCGACAAGGTGGCAAGGTCCTGCCGAAACGGCGCCAAACCCCACCACGGCGATGCCGACGGGGGCCGTCCACGGCTGTGCCACGCGACATACACACGTCTGCCCCATCCCCGTCCCACCCTCCCAGCCGTGCATCGGCCCACCCCCCTCCACAAAACACCTCCCGCTACCTTCGTCCCGCTTGCGCTTGTTGCTCTCGGTGCCAGGGGAGGCGATGCCCAGGATCCCGCTGATGGAGTAGGACGAGCCGGCGGAGTCGGTGCTGACGGAGGACACCTGGGTCACAGACCCCGTGGAGGCTGCAAGGCAAGGCCAGGCGGTCAGCGGGCACAACAGCACGAGCGCCAGCCCCCCCAAAAGCCACCGGGCCAGGGAAGACCCCAGACTTGTCCAGGGGGTGGGACACGTGGCTGAAAGGCCCCGAGGCTCCCCAAAATATGAATTAAATCCACTTTGCTTTAACGGAGTCCCCCGAGCTCTAACAGAGATGGCTGCGCCCAGACGAGGGGGGGTCATTCACCGCAGCCCACCAGAGCCTGGGGATGTCGGCAGATGCTCTGTCTAAGTGACACTGCGAGTCCGAGGCAGCACTGCTGCCACCTCCGACCGCCCAGAGGCCGAGCCCGTGCGGGCAGGTCCCTGCGTCCCAAAAGCACCGGCAGGCCCCCAGCACCCCGGGGTTGTGCAGGGCCATAGCGCGACCCCCAGTGACCCCTGCCTCCGTCACCCCCAAGCCCTGACACAAGAGATTTCTCGTTCCCCTCAAGGAGAGGCAACCCTTAGGCCACGGTAGCGAAGTGAGGGACGTTTTTTCTCCCCTGGGATTGTTCTGGCGTTTCCCCGAGAGAAAGGCTCAGGACACGGGGCTGCGACATAATTTCTCAGACCAGCCCCAGAGTCGATGCAACTCTGCACCCAGGCTCTGCGCCCCGTCCGTGCCAAGGGTGGGGGCAGAAACCATTTCCCCATTCCACCGGGAACGGTACAAAGGCAGAGAGGAACCGGGACCCCCATCCCACCTCCCTCCCGCCTACACGGCAAGGGCTTACCCGTGCCCCAGCAGCCTTCACAGAACAAGAACAAAAAGAGAGCAGCCCCTGAGCCCTGATGGAGCCCCCCGAGCAGCCCCCCCGGAATGAGGCCGTCACCCTCGCGAAGGGCTGAGGACACCCCAGCAGCCAGGCCGACCCCCCAGGGACGCCCCGCACCGGCACGGCCCGCCTTGGGGCACAGCGCTGCCGAGCTGCGGCTGGATTAAAGTTTAGAAAAGTTTTGCTACCTCTTCACTCAAGACTGCAAGTGCACAAAGAATTATGGAAGGGATGGTTGATAGATGAAAAAAACACATTCAAAACTACTTACTGACTAATGATGCAGAAAATGTTATGAATAAGTATCCCTTTCTTGATTTATTACTTTAATTATCTGACATTCTATAGACCCCCATTAGTGGGGGTTTTTTGGTTTAGATTTCAATTTTCTGTCTCATGGTGAAAGCTATTTATCATAATAATCAGTAAAATTCAAAACCTTTTAGCAGTATTTATAAAATTCATTTACTATGTTCAGCCCTTGGAGAATGACAAAGAAGGCGCATTAGCACGTGTGCTGAAGTGTTTTATGCAGAATTATCTGTCCATAAGAATGATTAAAAGTTCTTTAGAATATTTGTAATCCATTATGCTTTTTTTTTTTATATTAAGGGGGGAAAAAAAAAGTTTTTCTTACCTATGCTGTGACTGGAGGCTGGGACCTGCTGATTGGGTGGCTGCTGCACCTTCGTCCGTATGATTCTGTGTGTGGTTGAAAAGAAACGGCTGCTTAGCATCAAGCCTGCAATGGCAGGGGGCATCAGACACTGTTTTTTCCGTTCAGGTCACCTACATCAATACAGAAAGGCCTTTCTGCCTTTACCCCATCATCCACTGAAACACCAAAGTCTGGCAGGCAGACCCAGGACCGTGTTTTTGCCTCCAGCCCATTGTGTGACCGACTCCTGCGCCGTCCTCGGGACGTGCAGCGTTCAGTGCCGTTGAGGGCCTCGCCCTCACCCCCCAGGAACCAAACATCCGTCGCTATTTGGGCGCCCATCAGGCGCAGCACCCCCTCCTCAGGGAGCTGGGCACTTCCCGGCCCAGACGTCCCCGCAGGCTGTGACCTGCACCCCCGGGTGCGGGGACACGTTTGCCAGGTTGTCCCCTGGGTACTCACACAGCTGAACAACCCAGATGCCTCAGAAAAGGACCTGCTTAGCCAAATTAACATCAAAACAAAAATGTGACGAATTAAATGTTGATCTTAAAAGTTGTGTAACTACAATGTCATCGCTAGGGACGGCCTCTGCTGTGATTTATAACGATGTCAATCAGGAGAAATTCAGAGATGTAGAAAACCTAGAAGGCCTGTGTAATGTCGCAGGATGCAGGGCAGTGGCTAGGGAGTGCTGGGGAGGTTCCCTAGCAAGTGCTCACCTGCCGAGGCAGCGCGAAGAAATAAAAGACGTGGTCTGAGATGCCTCCCGAGGTACCACGGCCCTGCCACCGGCCGCAGTGGAATCGGACCGGGCTGGCAGGAGGCAGGCTGCCTGCCCCCCGCACACCTCCCTGCCCAAGGCAAAGCACTTCCCCTCCCGTGACCTAACGACTCTTCTCCCGTTTCTGCCTGCCGTGAATCTGGGAGAGGAGGGGAGGCGTGAGACAGAGCTGGCGTGGGGATGCACCCACGGGAACAAACAGCTTGATGAGCTGTACAGGAACCGCCACCCAGCCCCGAGCCAGGAGAGGACACGGTGCTGTCCCCACCGGTCCCTCCGCGGCTGGCACGGACTCAGTCTGTTGGTCCGTCGGCTTTCGGCTGCCAGCCCAGTTGGGTGTCGGACACCTCCAGTGGCAGCAAACCACCTGCCAGGGGCCGGAGGAGCCAGCCCAGCGCCGGGGCAAAGGGAGCTTCAGCGGGGCCCCGTGCAAAGACCTGGGACCCTGCATGGGCAGGAGTGGAGACCACCCCCGGCACAACACCTCCGCGCCACCGCGGCGAGGGAAGGGTGCCCGGGGCCTTCTGACACATCGACGTCTTCATCTCGGGGGGACGGGGGCTGCAGCGCTTTGAAGCAGCTGGGCAGCTCTCGGATTATTTGAGCAAAACGAATCACAATGATTAATTAAGGTTTAATCACACGAAGTTGCTCCTGCTGCAGAAGAGTGGCCTATTATTAATATTAATTAAAGTTATTAATTAATAATAATAGTATTATTCACTCATACAGGGGGGCAGCAGCTCAGATTTGTCTGCTGCAAGGCACCCTCTGCAGCGGGGATGCGCTGAGCGCAGCCGGCCCCAGAGCAGCGAGGGCTCCCCTGACAGGAGCGGCTCGGCCCCGGGGACCCCCCTCTGCCCATCAGGGTCAGGGGCGCAGTGTGGCAGCTCCGTCCTCCCCACCGTGGGAACATCGACTGCTCAGCCTTGCCCTCCCTGCAGCAGGACGGGAACCCGACCACATGATTCTCCAAGGGGTTCAGGTCTGCAGCGACCGGGCAACCCCCCGTCCGTGCATCAGCGGTGAGCAGGACCCGGGGCTTGTAACGGCCCCGCCAGCTAAGCCCGGACGTGTGCAGACACCTGCACTTAATTGTAAATTGAAGGATAAATCCCACGGACCACAACATGGGGCTGGGAGGATTTAGGGCTAAAGACGAGTATTTTTGACGTGAATTCCAGGTTTCTCCTCATGACGGTTTGGTCTGAGTTCTCAGGACGTTCTCCGAGGCTGGCAACAACAATCCTCCGGGTAAACAGACTGACTCAAAAAGATCGCGTGCGTTTTCAAAAAGGGGTTTCACACCTTTAAGAAAAGGAAAAGACCTTGGCCACAGTGGCACGCAGATGAGAAAGAACGAGATTTCCAGCTAAATAACTTGGTGGCAGATGATGAAACGGGCGCCTGATGCACGGGCCGTGCATGCGTGGACGCTGTCAGTGTGGGAACACATGGGGATGCAGTGGGAGGTAGAATATGGACACTGGCTGAAAACATGGCTGGAAGCTACTTAATCCCTCTTTTTCACAGAGCTCTGAGTGCCTTTTTCATAGTTTTTTTGGAGGACGCTGGAAGCCCTGCTACACAAACACGAGGCTGCTGGTGGCAGCGATGCTTCTCACGTGGCGGGGCTCGAGCTGACTTTCATGGAAGAAGAGTTTGCCCTTGGTAACTTGAGGTCAGCCAGCGTGACATCATCCTTCAGTTTTCCTGGTGTCTATATTATTTCTCAGATCCTTATAAAAACTGAAAATGCCTCGTCCGTGTTACTGAACACCGCTCCGGAGCCTCGGCGAGTCGGGAGCTCCCAGGCAGCAGCACGGGCTGCGCGGGAACTGACCCACTTTTGCCCTTAAAACCCAGGAACGCGTGACTCAACGTTCCGTTCGGCGAGGCAGACACCTCTCCCCGCCAGCGCTGGGGAAGCCACTCGGCTACTCAAGCGGCAACTCCATGAATGCAAATCAGGTTGGGATAGCCAATAAAAGAATATTGCATCAATTTATTTCACGTCCATGGACACAGATGGGACTTTATAGCTAGATGCATTCAAAGAATTTGCATGCAATTGCACAAGTGAAAACCATCTTGCCAGCACGGTGAGGCCAAAGCCTGGCGCCGGGCACACCCCGTGTGAAAACGAAAGGGCTCTGCTTGCCAGGGCTGCGGGTGTGCATGAGGCTGCCCCAGCACTCTGCCTGCCCGTCATTACTCCCTCATTATCGGCCTGGCAGGGCTGGAGACAACAGAGTATTTCCCTGGGTTTTTTCAACACTGGCTTTAGCCATCCTACGACAGAGGGAGGCTGGCGAGCAGGGGAGGCGTCACTGAGGTGGCAGTAGGTGAGTGTAAGCTCCAGACCCCTCTGCGAGCCCAGCCCTGCCCAGCAAGGCCAGGGCAAAGCTCCCGAACATGGGACTGCGGCTCCAAATGAGATTCTCCTGCATTTTTACTCAAGGCCACTTAAATGCATCCACGTAACAAGCGGATGGCTGAGGCGCCTGAAGGCTCCTGACCGAACTGCCCTGGTGACAGCCACGCAGGCTCAGCCCTGGGCCAAGTTCAACAAGACCAAGCCGGCGTCAGGGGGACAGAAGCGGTACCTAGACCTGTGCCTGGAGTGCCCTCCTCCAGGCACCCAGACCCCACCTTTTCCCAGATGGCTGCCGCCCCGCACAACATCCCGCTGGACGCCCGCCCCGTCGAGCAGAGCAGCGGCCTCGCTCGGAGCAAACGGGCGGGATCGTTGCCAGCGAGCAGTGAAACTCCCAGGCTGGGGAAAGGATGGCAGGGGAGGAAGGGCAGTGGCAGAACCTGCCACGGGGGCGAGCCCACAGCTCTTCCCCAGCCCCGAACACGTCAGGGAAGCACAACCAAGCTGCATTTCTTGCAAACAGCACAAAAGGCCCAGCCCGACCGGCCGAGGGGGATTCAGCGGCCGCGCGTCAAGGAGCGTCCCTCCCCAGGACCAGGCAGACCTTTACCTGTTAATTGAACTGACGCTGGGCACGGTGTCGTTGTCACACACTCGCTCAGCAAGGAGTCTATCCCTGATCTCCCAGGCAAACATGGTGGGATTTTGGCGTTTGTACTCTGCAATTTTTTCGACGACTTTGGGTGTGGCGACCTTTGGTTTTGATCCTCCAATCACTCCAGGCTTAATACTCCCGGTTTCGTAATACCTGGGACAACATCCAAAACAAAGCTTTAGTTATCACAAATGGACAGAGAACATGCTCTGAGATTTATAGAGAACATAATTTCAAGGTAACCAAACCCCAGCAAATCCTGAGATACATCTTCACTTTCCCATACACATTTTCTGCCTATGTAGTGCTTTATCACCTAATAGATTAACTTATAGTAATTGGAATCAGGCCTCGGGATACAATATATATTTTTCTGTAATAGCAAGACAAAAGAAACAACGCAAGATTAAAGGGCATGCCGGGATCCAAAATTAACTGAAAATGTGTGTTATTAATCAGTGGTGCTGGCAATAATAGAAACAAATCACACCAAAGAACACTTTTTGCTGTGGACTCTTTCGCAGCAAATTACTCTTTCTACGGAAATTCTGTGTCATTAATATCTACGGCTTGTTATCATTTCATAGTGAAATGAAGGCTGGGTATTGTGTTTTATTTGCACCTCCAGAATAAATACACTGTCATACCTTTTTCCCATTTTATGGTTTTTATATGTGTATTATGGTTTTAATAGTTAATATTTTTCAAAATGGAATTTTTCTAACACCAGGTTTTTAGAGGTTCCAATCATGAATTTCAAGGCAAAGGGAGCTGCCCTTGCTCTGGAGGGGCCCAGCTGATGTGGGGGTCGGTTTCTGTGACCAGTCCTGCGGCCCTCCCGCAGGCACCGCTCCTCTCCGCACACCAGCCACTCTGCTGAGGCCGCGCCGGGGAAACTGGAGGAACCAACCGAAATCTGACAGATTCCCTCACGAGTAAATCACACAAGAGCAATTGCTTCTGTCGCAGATGAGGTCCCTGGCCCCACGAGTCTCCCCTTTCAATAAATGGAGCCTTGAGCACGCTGCTAAGAGCAGAAGTCACCTCTTACCCACCGAGGGTGGGAACGGAGACCAAGACAGAGACGGTGCTCCTCGGTGCCGCGCTCTCGGGAGCGCACTGCATGAGGCACGCTCCCAGCCACGCGCTGCCTTGTGTCTGGTGAATTTTCTCGTGCCCGGATGGGAAGAAAACCCTGTGCCCACCTGCAACAGTCACCCCAGGCTGTCACGTCCTTTCTGTGCAGAGCAAGACCTCGATCTCAGGAGCCTTTCAACCCGGCGCCCACCGAGCTGCTAAACGCGTCCGCTCAGAGGTCCATGCCCTCAGTAACAGCAGGGAGCTCAGAGAAGACTCCCAAGTAAGAGCATAAGACTGCTTATTAATATATTTTCTCTGCAGCTACTTGACATACCCATTATACAGGAAAAAAAAAAAAATTAATTCCCCAATCTTTCCCGTGTGAGCACAACACAAACAGGCTGCGCAGCAGAAGTCTCTCTCACTGTAACACACAACCATGTTCATCAAATTTCTGCCCGGCCACGGGTTTTCAATCTGTCTGGGAGAGCTCTGTGCACAGGGACTAAAATTCCTTTAAAGAGACTGTCATCGTGTTGTTTGTACCTGTTCTCAGATATTCTGGATGCAGGTGTGGACTCTGTCTCCATCAGCCTTTTAAGCAATATTAGTAACGGAAAGTGTCAGGTGTCAGAGAGGGATTAACCCCCCCCGTGTCCCTAAGCGTGGCCTAGTAGCCAGCTTTAGGGCAGAGGGGGTAAAATTCAGCTCTTCCCATGTTTCCTGAGGACATGACAAAACGGTGGCAAATGTGGACCATAAACCTGCTAAAACCTTGCTGCCTGGCCTCAAAACTTTCACCGCTGGCACCTCTCCTGTGCAGAAGGAAGCCACAAAATACCATGAACGCTACCCGACAGAACGTCCCAATTCCCTTCCTTCCAGCCAAATCGGCAGATTTTGCAAACATTCCTTTGTGCTTTCCTCCAAGAGCGCCGCGCTGCACCGCGACACGGTGCCTGCCAGCACCCCGCCAGCCCGCGAAGCCGTGGCTGCACCGATGAGGCGGTTTCCCACGGTAGGTAAGACACGACGGCAAAGGCCCTTCCACTGTGACACCGTGGTTGTGGAGAGCTCGCTGGGGGACGAAGCCCCTCTGGACAGCAAGACCCCCACTCCCAAATCCTCTAAGCACTGCCCACCCTCAGCACCACACCGGCATGCATCGATGGGAAGAGGCAGGTCGCCCCCAGGGTGCAGGATTGGGCCCAGACCCTCGTTCTCGGGCAGTGAGGCCGCTGACACCCCCCTCCCCTTCACCCTGGCACAAAACCTGGGCGCAGGGAAGGGGCTGCGCGGCACCAGCATCTCTGGCTCCCATCTCCATTTTAAAGGCCGGGAGGGCTGCGGGCGGCTTCATTTTACGCACATCGTGTCCGGGCCTCCTGCCTGCAGCAAGTTGCCGCTGCAGGTGAAGAGTGGGTACCCCTGCGGTACCCCCCTCGCAGGGGTGAGGTTCGCTGGTGCTGCATCTGCCACTTCCCTGCCTCTGGATGATTTCTCAGGCTGTATCGAGGACTGAAAAATACTGGCCGTAAAATTCTAAATGTAAGGGTTTATCATAAGGACTCCAGTTTTTCACCCACACACGTGAAAAAACACACATGCACGGAGAGCTGCAATTACAGTGACATTTTACCCACTGTAATTATTAGTCATGAAAATAATGAGCTATGAAATTCCAATTTATTGTTGACAACTTTAATGACAAAGCTCTAGAGCCTCGTTCTTTGCTCTACAGTGCAAATATATCTAATGGTAAATCTATTCCAAAGTATGAGAAGTAAAACCATCGGATCTTTGCCTGGTAGGTGAATAAATTGCCCGTTTCCCAGCTGCGTGTTGGTCCTGGTGGGAAGTGGTGGTGGTTCTGCGGCAACGCAGAATGTGACTGGCCGAACCCACCAACCAGGCCGGGAGCAGGGGCTGCGCCGGCAGTGGACGCAGAGATAACCGAGAGGAACAGCCCGTGAGGGGCCGGCAGGTCTCGGATAAAGCCCACGGGAAGTTCTCCTCTCTAAGGGAGCGAAGGCACCAGCATCCTCAAACCTAAACCCGAGGGAGCGCACGCAGCTCGCAGGGGAACGCATCCCCCCGCCTTGAGGGCACAGGAGAAAAATCAAGAGCTGGTGAGCTCGTGCGGGGCCGCAGAGATGCTCCTCACCACGTAAAGCCAGTACGGGGAGGAGGGGGCTGCGGGGAAAGGAGTGCCAGGAGCTGCAAACCAGGGGCCTGTGGCCGTGCCAAGTCAGCCCGAAACTGAACACAGAGAGAGCGTAAATGCTGCTAAGCCAAGCAGATCCCCTGCATATACTGGGGGAAAAAAAAAAAAAAAGCAAGCCTTAACAGTCTTTGCAGCTGTGCTACATCCAGAAAACCAACTTGGTTAAAAATTGGAAAAGAAAAAGGCAGTGAAAATAGAAACAGCAAAATTCTATACCATAAAGTTAACTGTGAAAGTTTAGTCCATAGCCCAGGCATTAACTTTTCCAGATGATCAAGAAAAACATATTCTAACAAAAAAAAAAGTGTTTTCCTCAATACAAGTTGCTCAAATACCTCAGAATACCTCGGAATACTTGGGGTCCAAAAGCATTTTAACACTATACGTCACAGAGATGATGTTCAGATTTGTTCACAAGATACACAGAAGTGAGGATGGTATTTTTGGCCTGAATCTTTGTCAAACTGAAAAACGAAACCAGGTAGGAATTCGGAGTTTAATTTCCTGCTGTCATAGTGGTTCAAGCAGCTCCGGCCTGAGCAGAGGGCTACTCCCAAAACAGCCAAAATTAAGATGGTTAATAGTTACTCATGGTATCCTGTGCTCTAATTAAGAACGTGTGACAGCACAAGCCGTTGAATTAAACAGTGGAACGGAACAGCCCGTGTGAAGGAACACACGGCAACGCTGATGCAATACGTGATGATATTATTGCTAAAAGAGCCTCGTCTCCAGAAAGCAAAAGGAGTAACTTCCACAACTTCCTTTTTTTTTTTTCTTTTTTCTTTTTTTTTTTTGACATTTTACTGAAGATGACCCCTGTTCAGAAGAGGCAGGGGCAGGACACACGCCCTACAACACCCAATGCACCCCACGCGGCATTTCGCACTGGGTGTTGGAGTTACCCACAAGAGACCGAGATGGGGCAAACCAGACATCGTAGGAGCGGCAGCTTTTACCCGCCTCAGGCATATAAACCCAGGAGTGGTCAGGAGGCCCCTGTGCTCGCTGGGCTGATTCCCTGAGGTTTCTGCCATTCCCCATGCACTTGCAGCCTTCAGTTCAGGGACCGGCACTGACACTTTTTTGATGGACGCAGAAGGATTCGTCGTCCCCCCCCTCCCTTTTACCTGCCAAGTATTTTGCTGACGCAGCCATGGCTGACGCGGAGCTGCCGGGAGATGTCACAGGGCCGGACCCCTTGGTGGGCGAGCTCCACGATCCTTTGGCGAACCACATCTGGGAGGGGGCGGCCGTTCACAAAAACACCCCCCAGCTGATTCACGCCTCCATGTCCTGAAACACACACACACACACACAGGGGAGGGGGAGAAGGGCAGGACAAGAAGAGCTGTGTCAGAGTTTGGGACATTTCTGCAGGGCAGACCCCCCCAGCCCAGCGCTGCCCGCTGCTGGGCATCCCCCTCCCCACCGTCGGTCGAGCCTCCGGCTGCTTTTCCCCGGAGCACGGAGGCGATCACGGCCACGCTGCCACACTGACACTGCCCGGAGGGGAGAATCCTCCTGCCTGAAGGCAGATCGTGGGGGGAAATGGCCATGGGGAAGCCACGCAGCGATGCCCGGCTCCCGCGATGTGGCTACGCTCCCTCGGGCGCCAGCGGCCGCGTTCGCCCAAGTGTGAACTCCCAGGGCAGGCCCGGCGCTGCCCCGGGAGCAGAGGCTGCCGCAAGGCTCTGGCCACGCAGCCAGCGGGAAGCAAGGCTGGGCGATGGCTCAGCCCACACGCTGTTCATGTCTAAGCACAGAAGGGGATAACTCAAATGAAATACGTGGGTTTGGGTTTGGGTTTGGTTCTTTCCAGATGCCTTGATTTAATCAAGAGGGAAAAAAAAAAAAAAAAAAAAAAAAAAAAAA